AAGAAGAGGAGACTGGATTTATACCCCGCCCTGCACTACCCAAAGGAGTCTCAGAGCGGCTCAGAAACTCCTTTCCCTTCCCTTCCCTCCCCCACAACAGACACCCTGTGAGGTAGGTGGGACTGAGAGAGAAGAAGAAATTGGATTTATACCCCGCCCTGCACTACCCAAAGGAGTCTCAGAGCGGCTCAGAAACTCCTTTCCCTTCCCTTCCCTCCCCCACAACAGACACCCTGTGAGGTAGGTGGGACTGAGAGAGAAGAAGAAATTGGATTTATACCCCGCCCTGCACTACCCAAAGGAGTCTCAGAGCGGCTCAGAAACTCCTTTCCCTTCCCTTCCCTCCCCCACAACAGACACCCTGTGAGGTAGGTGAGGCTTAGAGAGCTCTGACAGAAACTGCTCTTTTTTCAAGAACAGCTGTGCCAGAACTACAGCTTGCCCAAAGTCATCCAGCAGGTGTGAGTGGGGGAGTGGGTAATCAAACCCGGTTCTCCCAGATTAGAGTCCGCGCACTTAACCACTACACCAAACTGGCTCACAGCTGCTAGGACTGGGTGTACTTCACATGTCCTTCCTGCCTTCTTTCCCTCCATCTCCAAAGCCCTGTGCCTTCACTTGCACACAGGTGCAAGGAGCGAAGGCCAGACTGAGCCGGGATAGTGTTGAGGCAACCAGACTCACCCTGTGTGGGATTTCACTCTCACACAGCTTCTCATGGAAACGGAGCTCCTCCTGTGCTGAGCAGCCCAAAGTACCACACGGGAAAGCTGCTGTCTCGGTCAGTGTCCAATTTCTTGCCTAATGGGCAGAAAGACCCCAACAGAGAGTTGTGGGGGGGGGATTTACACAGCCCACCTTGTGGATTTATTTTATTTAGTGCACATTGGTCTGTCAAGGTCAGCATCGTCTACTCTGACTGGAAGCAGCAGCCAGGCCCTCCAGCATCCAGCTTGGAGCCTCATCAAGATGAGAGCCCGTTCCCTCCCTCCAAATCTACCTTTGCTCAGCCCAAAGAGAGGGGAGACCGCCACCAGAGAGCCCTCTCCATCACCCCTGGATCAAGTTCGGCCGCGAATCCCAGAACATTTGTATTCCTTTGAGATGCTTTGGGAGCTAATTTTGACAGAGAAGTGGGTAAAAAAATAAATACTCTCAGGGCCGCATAGGAAGCTACTTGGGAGTGAATTGTGAGGTCTCCCTTCCCGGTCAAGAGACCTTGCCCAGTTCAGTTTGATTCCTAAGTCCAACAAGACAGATTGAGAAAGTAGAGTACCAATGGATCTGAGCTGCAGTAGCCAAATAGAACTTCCATGTGCAGAGCATTAAAGGTAAAGGTTCCCTTGCTCGAAAGCCAGTCGAATCCGACTCTAGGGTTGCGGTGCTCATCTCCGTTTCAAAGCCAAAGAGCCAGCGCTGTCCGAAGACGTTTTCGTGGTCATGTGGCCGGCATGACTAAACACCAAGGTGCACAGAACGTAGGCCCTTGCATCCTGGCTGGAAATGGAACACTGGAGTAGACAGAGGCTGGAGCGCAGTCACAAGAGAGCATGGTTTGAAGGCAGGAAGGCACAGGTTCAATACTTGTACCTCTGGTTAAAGGAAGCCCAGCTAGCTCTCCCAACGCACTCTCTTGAGGTACAGCCACTTCCAAGCAAAGTGTCCTGGGTTAGACAGACTGCTGATCTGCCTCTGGTTGTATACTGGTAAAGAAGGAGAAGAGTTGGTTTAACATCCCGCCCTTCACTACAAGGAGTCTCAGAGTGGCTTACAATCACCTTCCCTTCCTCCCCTCACAACAGACACCCTGTGAGGGAGGTGGGGCTGAGAGAGCTCTAAGAAAACAGCTCTGAGAGAACTGACTGGCCCCCAAGGTCACCCCAGCTGGCTTCACGTGGAGGAGTGGGGAATCAAACCCGGTTCTCCGGATTAGAGTCCACCGCTCTTAACCACTACTCCAAGCAGTTCCTTGTATGAAGATAGCCCATTTCGTTGTTGCCTTTCTATCCCCTCTTCCTTCAAAGGAGCTCAGAGTCGCATGTGGGGTTCTTGCTTAATCCTCACAACCACCCTAAGAGGCAAGTCTTTGACTCGCCCAAGATCACAGTGAGAGCAGGGCAGAAAATATTACCCAAGTCACATTTATACCCAAAATAGGGTTTTTACAGATTTGGAGGGCTTGATAATATTATTGTGTATTAACCAAATAACCCACCTCCACCCCCAAACAATACCACACGGGACAGAAGATGTTCCAGAAGAGACAGAACACACCGGGGACAGCTAAATATCAGTTAAAGCTGTAAATTTCACAATGGGACCCAAAAGTGAGTTAGGAAAAGAACAGGAGGGAGGAAGAGGGAAATTGAGTGAGCTGGGAATGGAGCCTCGGGGAATAATGGCAAATTTGGGGTTAAGACGCTGAACTGCAGGCTGTGGAAGGTCAGTAGTTCAGCGGTTCAAGACCCGGGTGCCGCAAGACGGAGTGAGCTCCCGTCTCTAGTTCCAGCTCCTGCCAACCTAGCAGTTCGAAAGCAAGAAATTGCAAGTAGATAAATAGGGACCACTTTGGTGGGAAGGTAACAGCATTCCGTGGTGCCTTGGTGTTTAGTCATGTCGGCCACATGACCACGGAAACGTCTTCGGACAGCGCTGGCTCTTCGGCTTTGAAACGGAGATGAGCACTGCAACCCTAGAGTCGGATTTGACTGACTTTCGAGCAAGGGAACCTTTACCTTTTTACTGCCCAATGAGCAAGATCCACGAAATACAGTCTGTGACATAGTCAAACATGTTCATATATTTCTGTGGAACAAAGTTTGAGTCCAGTGGCACATTTAAGACCAACGAAGTTTTATTCAAGGTATAAGCTTTCCTGTGCAAGCACAATTAATTCTTCAGATACTTCTTCAGAAGTGTGGGTGCACACAAAAGCTTGCTCTCTCTCAAACTTTGTTCTGCTGCTTCAGACCAACACGGCTACCCTCCTGAATCTATATATCTATTGGGGGGAGGGGGAGATCCTTCCAACCCCATCGTACTGTTCATTGGATGTTCCATTCTGTTGATTATACTAGTAATCCGCCTTGAGTCTCAGAAAGAATTGCTCCAAAATTTGCTAATGATGTTAGGGAGGTGCCCTTGGTTCAATACTGGCATGAACAGAAGCACAGCATAGAAGATATAAAATGTTGTGTCATTTACAAACATTTTCTTAAAAAGAAAATGTGCAAAAAAAATTGTTGCAAAAAGATGTGGAATTCACCTTTAAGCTAGAAGCATGTGAACCTTTGGGACTCAATGCATATGTAGATTTTACTGCTTTCATTTAACTGACATCACTGCGAAGCTGATTAGCCAGTTTGCACCTGGAGACACAGACTGGACTTTAAGCATTAGGAGAGATGTGCTAGTTCCCAAGAGCAGTCTTTACATGCTTAGATGACAGAATGCCTACAGAGTAAGGCTACGCATTTTCATCATGAATAAAGCCAAATAAGGCATTTTGGGTAAGATATTCTATTTTTATTGGCAAGTCAATCTAGATGTTTGAAATCATATGTATTTGTGAGTGTTATTGTTACTGTTATAATCAGTGTTCCCTCTAAGCTGAGTGAGTGTGAGCTAGCTCACAGTTTTTTAGCCTCCAGCGCACACATTTTTGTTTTAACTCAGGAAAGATGGCTCCAGAGCAAACTAATTTATGCAGCAGCCAAATCACCTACTCACAGCTTTAATGCCAGCAGCTCACAAAGTAGAATTTTTGCTCACCAGGCTCTACAGCTTAGAGGGAACATTGGTTATAATTCTGTTTAGAGACATTGTTCTGAGGGAGTTCCTGTTGCCGTAAAACAAGGCAGTTTTGGAGGTACTACTTTCTGGGCCATGTGCAGTCCCGATGAAGGGATCGATAACCCACTGAAAACCTGGAGAATGGGTCCAAGCCTTTTTTCCACTTTGGAACAGCGAAGTTTATTCTGGGAATGTAAAGTTTCCTTCAAATTCGTCTTAACTTGTCTGTGTACCGATTGTTTTGAATAGTACATTTCAATTGTTGTTCAGTCGCACAGTGAGTCCGACTCTTCGTGACCCCATGGACCAGCTCCCGCCAGGCCCTCCTGTCTTCCGCCGTCCTCTGAAGTTGGCTCAATTTCATGTTCGTGGCACCTATGACACTGTCTAACCATCTCATCCTTTGCCGTCCTCGTCTTCTTCGACCTTCAATCTTTCCCAGCATCAGGGTCTTCTCCAGTGAGCGCTCCCTTCTCATTTGGTTAAATAACAAGAATTGCTTAAGAGCTGGAATACTTTGGCGCTTTATTTGATGTTAAGTTACACGCGGTCTTAAAAACGGCATCATATCAACATATTGCAGCAATAACTACAGCATAACAGCCACGTGATGTAAGAACAACAACAGTGTGGTTGCACTGGGCAATGATGGCATGCAAGAATAGCATCACAGCCACGTCCACATCACTGATAAGTCAACCGGCATTAACCACGGCGTCATCAATGTTCGATACTCGTATTACTTGTTGTTCAGTCGCACAGTCGAGTTCGACTCTTCGCGACCCCATGGACCAAATCACGTCAGGCCTTCCTGTCTTCCGCCGTCCTCTGAAGTTGGCTCAATTCCATGTTCGTTGCATCTATGACACTGTCTAACCATCTCATCCTTTGCCGTCCCCGTCTTCTTTGACCTTCAATCTTTCCCAGCATCAGGGTCTTCTCCAGTGAGGGCTCCCTTCTCATTGGGTGGCCAAAGTCTTTGAGCTTCAGTTTCATTATCTGGCCTTCCAGGGAACAGTCAGGGTTGATACTCGTATTACTACCACGACAGTATTATTAGTCAAAGTGTGGGGGGGTAAGAAGCCGCCTCTTCCAATTCCTCCGAACCGCCCCCCATTTGCATTCGGGAAGGCGACGGGCGCGTTTGCAGGACGTAGAATTGGCAGCCTGGGGCGCGAGAGAACCTCGGCGGGTTGCCTCGCCTCCCCTCCCCTTCCGGCGCCGCTTTCTGCCGGTCCTTCCGCCTCTGGGTCCGGCGCCGCCTCCTCCTGCCCCACGTGCGTCCTCCCCGCTCGTCCTCCATCGCCGCCAGGATGCTGCTGGCTCGCGCTCTCCGCCCGGCCGCGGCCGCTTTCGCTCTCCGGCCCGTCCAAGCGCAGCTGCGCCGCGGCGCGCCTCTCTTGCCCGCCGCCCTGGCCCCCGCCGCGGCCGCCCGTCCCTTCACCCGCTCGCTGTGGCTGCTGTGCGGCGACGGGACGGGCCGGAGCGGCCTCCTGCGTGGGTCCCGGGCCTCGCCCTCCCTGGCCTGCACCTGCGGAGGGCTCCACACCGAGGGTGAGCGCAGCCGAGGGGGCCGGACGGCGCGCCCGCGTGGGCTTTGGAGAGGCCCCGGGGTGGAGCGGCCTTTGGCGCGCCGGCCGGGGGTGGGGTGGGGGGAGCGCTTACTCGCGAGGGGGTCCGCTAGCTTTCTAGCAGGGCTGCCTACCGAGGAAACGCGGGCCGGAAGGATTTGCGGGGGTAGAAGTTAGGCACGAGGAGAGCCGGGTTCAAATCCCGGTTGAGTCGTGAAAGGCGGGGGGGGCCGATGGGGGCCACGCTCCCTCCAAGCTGTGGAGTGCTGTGAGCAAAAATCCTACTTTGTGAGCTCCTGGCATTAAAGTTGTGAGCGAGAGATTCGCCTGCTTCATAAAATCGTTTGCTCTGGAGCCATCCCTTCCTGAGCTAGGCCAAAAACGTGTGAGCCAGAGGCTAAAAAACTGTAAGTTAGCTCACACTGACTCAGCTGAGGGGGAACACCGGATGCGGGGTTAGCCAAACCTATCTGGCAAGGTCGTTGTAACGTTAGAGTAAGACCTTTGGGGTTCTTTTTTGAAGGGGGGGGGGATAACAGGAATGGAAGCAGATTTTAGGTCTCAGACAGTACAACCCGGCTCTGGTATTGAGATTCAAACTGGGAGAGGAAGTTCCTAGATGGATTTAGGTTTGGGGGCAAAGGGGAGGTCAGTCAGTGGTCGGGTGGCGGCTGCCAGTTCCAGGTTGGGGAATATGTGAAGATTTTTTTGAGGGGGGGGGGGTGCAGCCTGAGGAAGGCAGGTTAGGGAAGGGGAGGAAGCTTAGCCATGGGATAATGTCAGAGTCTGGCTTCCAAAGCAGCCATTTTCTCCAGGGGAACTGATCTCTGTCCCCTGGAGATCTCTTGTAACCTGAGGAGATCTCCAGCCAGCACCTGGAGGTTGGCAATCCTAGTCAGTGACTAAAGGGAAACTCCAGGGGGAGAAGAAGTGCATCCTCGAACGCCGTCTCCCCGTCTCCCCTGGCTTTTCCAGAACATCTGAGTGGCCACTTTGGGCATCTAGTGGGATGCTGCTAGAGAGACTCTGATCCCACAGTTCTGTGGGGGTTTTCTTATGTTGAAGTGTGGTGGGGCTTAATAAAATCTACACATTTTCCTAATTTCCAAGTATAACTTTCTAAAGGAGGGGGGAAAAGGTGATAGACTGCATCTTCCCTATAAGGAAAGGTTCGAGCATTTGGAGCCTTAGTTTGGAAAAATATTCCGTTAAAAGGGGAGAGAAGCTGTGAGTGGTAAATGTTGGGGTTTATTACAATTTTTTATATCTTTTTCAGATCTGAAAAAGTTCCCTCAAAGAGGTGTATTTCCTTCAAATACAGAGCATAAAAGGGATTGAGTATACCAACCAGTATGCCCTCAGGGAGCTCAATCTGAATTTTTAGCTTTTATTTTTTTTAAAAGGAAGTCTCTAGGCCTTTTGTTCCTCCAAATACACAGGAGAGCTATGCAGCGAGTCTTGTTCAGTCCAACCTGCTCCCACCTTCTGGTATTTTGGCCAGTGTGTGCAAAGCTGGTATTGATTGACAGGCAGCAGAAGGCCCTTGTTTTTAAAAGTTATAAAATGACATTGTGTTTTAAACTGATGAGGTGACTTTTCAGGAGCATTGCAGTGGTCTTAGCAGCTGACTTTGGAAAGTTTGGACCTTTGTTATGCTGATCACAGCCCCAGACGCTTATCATTTTTCTCTGAACAATCCTGCAAGGTAGGCTGCTCCTGGTTAATTTTGATGTCCAAAGGCTGCCTTCAGAACAGCCCTGCGCAGTTACTTCAGTCCATGCCTGTGATTTCAATAGGCTTTGACTGGAGTAACTGTACAGGGTTGTCCTGTGATATTCCCATTTTACAGCGGGCGAAGAGGGGCCGCTAAATTTGGCAGAGACTTTTCTGCCACTGCTCAAGCAGCCTCAGAAGCTTCCCGCTCTTCTGATTCCACCATCTTTCCTTACTGTACCCAGTGCCTAAAACTCACGGAACATCTACGTGGTGCCAACGCTCTCATTTCTCTCCCATCCCTCTTCAAACTTTAATTAAAAAAAAATGTTTTTAGATTACCATTGTTTCAAGCTTTTAAAAAGCGAATGGTACAATTTGTGAGCCTGGGGGCGCGTTGGGATTTTTTAGAAAGGGTCGTGGGTGCCGCCACAACATGGCTACTATGGGAGATGGGAGGTCAGTCACAAAATGGCGGCCAAGGGGGACAGTCACAAGATAGTGGGAGGTTTCAGATGGAGCGTTGTCCTATTATGAGGGCTGCATGCAGACCCAAAACTGATACCTCATGGGGTTTTCGGTTGTAGTGAGGTGGAGGAAAGCCAAGAATAGGCCTTTGTTTTTGGAGGGAGGCAAGGTGCTTCAGAGAAGAAGTAGGGAGGGGTCTGGAAACACCTCAAGGTCTCCTCAGGCGCCATTTTAGGATAATTGATTTGGAAAATCAGTAAGGAAGTTCTAGAACGTTACAGCGATAATGAAGCAGTTTTTAAAGTTACTAAATCAATCCCAGCAGAGAAAAAGCAGCCTGAAACGATAGCTTAAAAAGGTAAAGGTACCCTTGCTTGTAAGCCAGTCGAATCCGACTCTAAGGTTGCGGTGCTCATCTCCGTTTCAAAGCCAAAGAGCCAGTGCTGTCCGAAGATATTTCCGTGGTCATGTGGCCGGCATGACTCCAAATGTCACAGGGTTCACAAGAAGCTGTTAGAAGGATCTGCACCCGGCTTCCCACTGAAGTGGTACCTATTTATCTACTTGCAATTTCTTGCTTTCGAACTGCGAAGTTGGCAGGAGCTGGAACTAGAGACGGGAGCTCATTCCGTCATGCGGCACACTCGGGTCTCGAACTGCTGAACTACCGACCTTCCACAGCCTGCAGTTCAGCGTCTTAACCACTTGAGCCACCGCAGCTCCTAACGATAGCTTAAGAGGAAATAAAATGCAAAACCTCAGCGAAAATAGCTGTATTTGAAACTTCCATCCTAAAGCCTCCACGTGGTCACTTTTCCCTCGAAGTATTTGGCTTAATCTTACACGTTTTGCCAGCCTTGTCTTCCCTTACTGTCAGCTTGCATTGTAAGCTCCTAGGGGCGGGAATCTTTTGTATTTAACTTCACTTCTCATTTGTCTTAGACTGTAATTCATGTGAGCCCTTTAGGGAATCGAGTTTTGGCCAAAGAGAGGGTGTCAAAATACAATAAAACCATTCAGTTTTCCCCCCTTCTTACTCTGTGAAGTGCTAAATAACATTGACGACAATATAGAAGTCATAGAAATCAAGGCCCTTTTGAGCTAGCAGAGGAAGGTACATGGGTTGTTCATAACATTGCTGTTTCTCTCAACCTGACCCACAGGCGATAAAGCTTTTGCGGAGTTTCTGACAGATGAGATTAAGGAGGAGAAGAAAATCCAGAAAAACAAAGCCTTGCCCAAAATGTCTGGTGGGTGGGAGCTGGACGTGCAGGGCACGGAAGCCAAGTTGGTTCGGAAAGTTGCTGGAGAAACGTAAGTGAACACGTGAGGCTGCCATATACTGAATTAGACCCATCAGCCCATCAAATCAGTATTGTCTACTCAGACTGGCATGAACTCTACCCTGGGAGTACCGAGCTTGATTCCCCACTCCTCCACATGCAGCTGCTGGCGTGACCTTGAGTCAGTCACGGTTCTCTCAGAGCTGTTCTCTCAAGGGCAGTTCTCGAGAGAGCTCTCTCAGCCCCACCTACCTCCCAGGGTGTCTGTGGGGCGGGGGGCAGGGAAAGGAGATTGTAAGCCGCTCTGAGATTCCTTCGGGTAGTGAAGGGTAGGATATAATCCCCGGCTGTTGCTGTGTTGCTTTATAGGATCACCATTTCCTTCAACATTAACAACAGCATCCCGCCCAACTTTGACGAGTCCCAGGAAGGACAGAAACCTGATGAGCAAGAGGTAAGTGGGGAGGGGGGCTGCCCTTTGGATGGTTCAGCATCTGAAATGTTGTTAATCACGGAGTGAGGGGCCATGCTGTGCATCGCCTGCGTTTTCAGAAACACAAAAGTGTCAGCCTTTGGGATGTATATTGCAGAGCAAGCCTGTCTCTATCTTTTAGCACAATTCTGCTTCTTCCTGTCATGGGGAGTGGGGAGACCCATTTATTCCTTTGAGATGCAGATCTCCCCTCTCGCATTGGCTACTGCCAGTAACGATCCAGAGTGGCACTGCCATCCGAACGGAGTGAATGCTTAACATGCCATCCCAACTCAGTGGCAGTTGTGAAAACATAGAGTGAGAGCCTGACATCCAACCAATGAAGATATTCCCATGGAGAAGAAACCAGAAACCTGAAATGTTATGGAATACTAGTGGGAGAAAGGAAGACTCTGCCGATACACAGAGTGCAGAAATTTGAAAAGGGAGAAAGGAAGCACATACCAAGCAAATAAAAATATTACGAGATAATTGATTCAAAGAACTTTAACCTGGTGCATAATGCCCAGCAGACTTGCCACAGGGTGGATTACTGTGGAGAGGGTGATGGACAGCCGAGGAACAGAGGCACTGACACCCCTCAGGGGTCTCGATTGTTGCCTCTCCCATTCATTTTACCCTCTGGCTTCTGACATCTTGCATGGCATTTCTAGTAGGCTTCCAAGCTACTGTTTGATCTTAAGGACTACAAACTTGCATTTTTTTAAAAAAGGCAATTTTTAGGATTCCCAAATTGGATTCCAACAATGTGTCTGCATTACACCATGTTCCAGACACGAAGTATAATGCTAGAATTCCGTGTATAATGAAACATCTAATGTAATTGTAATTAAGTCAGGGAGGATATTTTTTTAACATGAACCTCTTTTTGTCTCTTTAATACAGGCCTCGCGTTTTATGGCTCTTTGGAGTGGCTTTTTTAATGCACAATGTGATGAACAGAATTTAAAAATGTTAAAAAAAATAAATCCTTAGAGGATTTACATTAATTTTTTCCCACCTTCACACCAGGGAGGGCACCAAAGACTAAGAATTAGTTAGCAAAGTTAGAATTTTTTTTTTTAATTTACATCCCTTATAGTTTGCCTTTTTCATGGGGACTCCAGAGATAGATGGCACACAATGAGTCAGTACAGTCAACAAAAGGAGACATTCAGTAGCCAGTGCTGGAGGTGGCCCTATCTGAAGTCTCACTAGAACTCAGTGGAAGACAGTTTGTAAAGCAGATGCTCAGAAAGCTCCCGTGGGAACCACAGGGCTTTAAAGTGCTTGACTTTCGCTGGGTGGTGCTCGTTGGGTGGCCGCACTGTTGCCACCGGGGCAAGTCAGGTTCCCCCCCCCAATCCGTGCGCACGCTCTCCACTCTTGCTTGTGCCATCGTCCTGGGTTGGTGGCATGGTCCACATTTGTCCTCTCTCCCCTACAGCCCGAGCTGACCTCGACCCCAAATTTTGTCGTTGAAGTGACCAAGGATGACACCAAGCAGACACTTGTCTTAGACTGCCATTATCCTGAGGATGAGGTTGGTGTTGCATTTTGGTCGTTGGCTGTGAATAGAGAATGCAGTGATAGGCGGTTTTAAAGGGGGATTGGACAGATTCGTGGAAGATAGGTCTGTCAGTGGCTACTAGCCGTTGTGACTGAAGGGAACCTCCACATTCAGAGGCAGTCAACCTCTGAATGTCAGTGCCAGGAGGCAACATTGGGGGAAGGCCTCGGCCTCTAGGGCCTCTTGTTGGACGTCCAGAGGACCTGGCCGGACCAGCTGGTCTGGCCCAGAAGGGCTCTTCTTCTGTTCCGAACATAAATGCTGCTAGGAACCAGAACATAATGCATCCCAGGAGGGTTCTGTGTGTGTCTTTCGGTTTATCTTCAAGTGGTTTGTTTCCATTTTGCATGCTTCCTCTTTCTCCTGCCCAATTCCTTGTTCTTGGAAAGCTAGTCTGTCAGGGCGAAGAGTTCTAGCCTAGCTTCCTCCCTGGTAATTTAGTCCCTACTAGGGATGTGCAAAAAAAAAAAATTCGGTAAAATTCGGATTTGGGTTTATTGGACCCGAATTTTTTCGGGAAACCCGAAAAAACCCAAATATCTATACCGGTAAAGCATAGATATCTGAAAATTTTCGGGAATCCCGAAAAATTCGGGTCCATTGTAACCAATGGGGCCATTGAAGTCAATGGCAAAAATCCTCTTGAAACTTTGCGGGGGGCTGGGGGGGAGGGGGGGGGGAGGGGGTTTGGGCTAGAGGCTCCAAACTTGGAGGGTGCTCACTGGAACCTCTTCCCAACATGCCCACCAAGTTTCAAGGCGATTGGACAAGGGGGTACAATTTTATGGCCCCCCAAACAGGTTGCCCCCAGATCAGCCTTCTGCAGTTTATTCCCGGTTTGCCGCCGAAATTCGGCGGCAATTCGGCAACATTGTATCATATGGCCCTTGGAGTTGGAGGCTCCAAACTTGGAGGGTGGTTACTAGAACCTCTCCCCAACACACCCTCCAAGTTTCATGAAGATTGGACCAGGGGGTCCAATTCTATGGGCCCCCAAACAGGTTGCCCCCAGATCAGCTTGCTGCAGTTTATTCGCGGTTTGCCGCCGAAATTCGGCGGCAATTCGGCAACATTGTATCCTATGGCCCTTGGAGTGGGTAAGCTCCATACTTGGAGGGTGGTTACTAGAACCTCTCCCCTACATACCCACCAAGTTTCATGAAGATTGGACCAGGGGGTCCAATTCTATGGGCCCCCAAACAGGTTGCCCCCATCCCATTGTTCTCTATGGGTGGGAAAAAATTACTTTTTTCCCCACCATAGAGAACAATGGAGGGATGGGGGCAAACTGTTTGGGGGAGTGTGCTGCGTGTTGCAATTTCAAACTGTGCATTGCCAGCCAGGCCCCAGCAGCAGAAGAACCAGAGCAATCTGCCACCTGTGCCAGGCCAGCCAGGTTGCCAATTGCCAGTCAGTGCCCCAAAACCAGAACTAGGTCAAACCAGAGAATCTCTCCAGACAGCAGCAGCAGCCACTACAGACTGAGGGAGCAAGTGCATGCCAGCCAGCCAGGCCCAGCAGCAGAAGAACCAGAGCAATCTGCCACCTGTGCCAGGCCAGCCAGGTTGCCATGCCAGTCAGTGCCCCAAAACCAGAACTAGGTCAAACCAGAGAATCTCTCCAGACTGCACTGGAGCGGCAGCACACAGGCTGAGGGAGCATGTATGTGCATCGCCAATGCCAATGCCAGCCAGCCAGGCCCAGCAGCAGAACCAGTCCACCACAAGTGTGCCAATGTGCCAGTGCCCAAAAAACCCCAAAAGCAAAACAATCTCTCCCCTCTGCAGTGGCAGCGGCCTACATAGGGGAGCATGTTTGCTAATCGCAGCCATGCCCAGCTGCAGAACCAGAGCAATCTCAACTTCCCCCCATCAACCTCTGTGCCCAGCAATGCAGGAGATTCACACAGAGACGTCTCCCTTACAACCCCAGAGGCCCAGAGGCCCCTCCTCCATGACCAGAAGCGCTATTTGCCTAGCCTGCTTTGGAAATCCAAAGGTGGGCTGCCGAGAGGCTGAAAAGGAGTTGGGAACTTGGGAGTCGGGCTTGGTCCCCTGTTCAGGGCAGGGGACAGCAGCAGAACCTGTGCACTGCACGCCCCTCCCCCAACCACACCCAGCCCGCCTGCTCCATGGCCAGGAGAGACTGTAAGGAGAGATGACTACTAGTCCGCTCCGCTTTGGAAATCCAAAGGTGGCCACTGGCCACAGGCTAAAAAAGGATTGTTACCATTGACCAACCCCCCACTCTCAACAATTTGCCCAAAACCTCCTGCATTGCTGGGAACGGGGCGGGGAGACCCACAAGCCAGCCGCTGTGTGGCTCGGGATGTTTTTGCCTGCCTGCCCCTGCCCGGTGGGGGTGGAGCTATCTTACTTCCTTGCTGCCACCTTCCTAGAGGTAGCATACGTGGGACCCCTCTGGATGATTCCCCAACCTGGGAATCATCCTATCTCAATCTTTGGGCACCACCTGGAGAGTTGGCAGCCACTCTAATTTGGGGGCATCTGGGTTCCTCTGGCCTCCCTTTGCCTCTCTTCAGGTGCGCTGAGTGGGGATTCGCACGCACACCCCTAGTGATTGCTCACGTCACTTGCACAGGCCCTGCCTGCCCCCCCCTTCATTTATACTGCAGAAATCCTCAGGTTTGGACTGAGTCCAGTAAGTTGGGTGACTGGCACAGAGGTTGTTGGGGGGAAGTTGAGATTGCTCTGGTTCTGCAGCTGGGCATGGCTGCCATTAGCAAACATGCTCCCCTATGTAGGCCGCTGCCACTGCAGAGGGGAGAGATTGTTTTGCTTTTGGGGTTTTTTGGGCACTGGCACATTGGCACACTTGTGGTGGACTGGTTCTGCTGCTGGGCCTGGCTGGCTGGCATTGGCATTGGCGATGCACATACATGCTCCCTCAGCCTGTGTGCTGCCGCTCCAGTGCAGTCTGGAGAGATTCTCTGGTTTGACCTAGTTCTGGTTTTGGGGCACTGACTGGCATGGCAACCTGGCTGGCCTGGCACAGGTGGCAGATTGCTCTTGTTCTTCTGTTGCAATGCTGGGGCCTGGCTGGCATGCACTTGCTTGCTCCCTCAGTCTGTGGGCTGCTGCTGCTGTCTGCAGAAATTCTCTGGTTTGCACCAAGTTGGTCTGGGCACTGATTGGTTGCACCTTGGCACAGGTTGTGGGGGGGGCAGATTGCTCTGGTCCTGCTGCTGGGCCTGTCTGTCTGGCATTGGTAATGCACAGACATGCTACCTCAGTGCTGCTGCTGTAGAGATTCTTTGGTTTGAGCCAAGTTGTGTTGGTTTTGGGGTTTTGGGCACCCAGTTTGGCGGCACAGGTTGTGGGGGGGCACTTGTATGGTTCTTCTCTGCTGCAGTGTGGCTGGGGCTGGCTGGTCTGGCAAAAGTTTGCAAACACACTCCCCCAAACAGTTTGCCCCCATCCCTCCATTGTTCTCTATGGTGGGAAAAAAAGTAATTTTTTTCCCACCATAGAGAACAATGGGATGGGGGCAACCTGTTTGGGGGCCCATAGAATTGGACCCCCTGGTCCAATCTTCATGAAACTTGGTGGGTATGTAGGGGAGAGGTTCTAGTAACCACCCTCCAAGTTTGGAGCTTACCCACTCCAAGGTCCATAGGATACAATGTTGCCGAATTGCCGCCGAATTTCGGCGCAAAACCGCGAATAAACTGCAGCAAGCTGATCTGGGGGCAACCTGTTTGGGGGCCCATAAAATTGTACCCCCTGGTCCAATCGTCTTGAAACTTGGTGGGTATGTTGGGGAGAGGTTCCAGTAAGCACGCTCCAAGTTTGGAGCCTCTACCCCAAACCCCCTCCCCCCCAGCCCCCCACAAAGTTTCAAGAGGATTTTTGCCATTGACTTCAATGGCCCCATTGGTTATAATGGACCCGAATTTTTCGGGATTTTTTTTCGGGATTCGGACAAGCTCATAAATGGCTAATTCGGGATCCCAAAAGCCGAAAAAAGCCGAAAATCGTTATTTTCGGCTTTTTTTTCGGCTCGGGATCCCGAAATGCACATCCCTAGTCCCTACAGTACCTGTAGAAGCATTTCCATATTGGAGAACATTCAATCACGTCTGCCGTTGTCTGCGTTCAGAAGGAGTACAGTAATAACCCTGGTTTACCAGCTCCCACCTAGTCTGAAATGGGTGGCTATGCAGTATTACTCCACTCTACATCCATTTAAATCAATGTGGTTTAGACTGGAGTAAAATTGCATAGGATTGCACTGTGAGTCCTCTAGATCCCGTGCTAATGCCACTGCTCTGCATAGCCCTTTGAGGGCCTTAACCCAAACTTTCTAAAGCACTTCTTAATTGCCGTGGAGTGCCGAGTTTCCATGGTTTTGCCCTCTGCCTGTCGGTTCTGAACTCTGGTTAACCTTTGGTTGCCCTCTTAATCAGATTGGTCATGGGGAGGAGGAAGAGGAGAGTGACATTTTCGCCATCCGGGAGGTGAGCTTCCAGCCCGCCGGAGATTCGGAATGGCGAGAAAATAATTACACCCTCAACACGGACTCCCTTGACTGGGTAAGAGCAGATGTCAGCCAGGCTTACAAGTACGCGGCGGAAAGAATCCCTGACTTGTGTACAGCGTGGCGGATTTGTGTGCGTGCATAGCTGTACATTCTAACTTTGAAGGATGTGTACCTATCTTACATAAAATTTTGAAATGCAGTTAGTTTGAGAGAAATGTGCATTAGACCAGGAGCGCCTGTCTTTTCTGTCTGTGGGCGCCTTTGGAATTCTGTGACAGGGTGGTAGGAGCAATCACAAAATGGCTGAAACCGAAGTGCGGGAGGGGAGAGGGGTATGTAAAAATACACTGGGGGAGAGGAGATGGATCGAGATGGGCAGCCGTGTGAGTCTGTCTGTAGCAGTAGAAAAGAGCAAGAGTCCAGTTGCACCTTAAAGCAGGGGTGTCAAACAAGCGACCCAGGGGCCGGATCAGGCCCCCGGAGGGCTTCTATCGGGCCCGCAGTGGAACTGGCTGTCTTCTGCTTCTTTTTCCAGTTCTGCTGCTGATGTGTCATCGTAGGTTTGCGGCTTACATATACACACCTGAACAGCATATTCAGGATTGCAACAGCACAGACATTTTGATGCCATAATTCAGAGCAAGAGGTGCCAGTTATCAGACACTGTTAAATAAACAAAATATTGCAAGAGTGCTAATGTTTAAAGCATATTTTTAAGTTTAAAAAAATCCTTTGTGTTTGTGTCCTTTATAAAGTTTATATCTCTGCTACCTGGCATGACATTTTATGACACACCTGGCCCGGCCCAACAAGGTCTCAGTTATGTCAGATCCGACCCTCATAACAAATGAGTTCAACACCCCTGCCTTAAAGACTAACACAATTTGTGGCAGGGGATGAGCTTTCCTGAGTCACTGCATCAGTGAGTGGCTGAGTCTGAAGACGTGAGCAGCGACTCACAAAAGCTCATATCCTGCCACACATTTTGTTAAGTCCTTAAGGTGCTACTGGACTCGTGCTCTTTTCTACTGGGAGAAAGGAGAGAATAAAATAACCACTCGGGTAGCAGCCGCTGCCGAGACAACATTATTTTAATCTGAACAGGCCGTCAGATCTCCGGTGGCCAGTCAGAAGCCCTGCTGGCCAAGAGGCCAACCTTGTCCCCACCCACTTTCTAAAAACACTTAGTGGGCGCCAAGCAGGGCTCTTTTTGTAGAAAAAGCCCAGCAGGAACTCATTAGTATAATAGGCCACACCCAACAGCAGAAACTTATTTGCTTATTAGGACACACCCCTGACAGCACAGCTCATTAGCATATTAGGCCACACACCCCATGTTCGCAGAAGTGTGGTCTTCCAGACACACCCACCTTTTGCTTGTTATTCTGTTTACCTTGTTTGTTGTCAAAACCCAGGGTTTTTTTATAGCAGGAACTCCTTTGCATGTTAGGCCACACACCCCTAATGTAGCCAGTCCTAATGAGTTCCTGCTGTTGGGTGTGGCCTATTATGCTAATGAGTTCCTGCTGGGTGTGGCCAACTCGGGAGCCAGACGGAACTCCGTCCCTGTGCGTTCCTGCTCCAAAAATAGCCCTGGTGCCAAGAAAGGTGTTGGTGGGTGCCATGGCCCTCACAGGCACCGCGTTGGGGACCCATGGATTAGATCATCTATTTAGAGGACAGGTCGTTTACTGTTTTTTACTCATTGCCCCTTGCGAGTGGTAAAACTGGCACGGTAGCTGCCGTTTTAATGCAGAAGAATAGGAGGAGATTGGATTGATACCCCACCCTTCACTACCCAAGGGCGTCTCAGAGTGGCTTACATACTCCTTCCCCTCCCCACAACAGACACCCTGTGAGGTAGGTGGGGCTGGGAGAGCTCTTGACAGAAACTGCTCTTTTTCAAGAACAGCTCTTGTTAGAACTATGGCTTGGCCAAGGTCATCCAGCAGGTGCAAGTGGAGGAGTGGGGAATCAAACCCGGCTCTCCCAGATTAGAGTCCGCACACTTAACCACTACACCAAACAATGTAGCATGGGTGGTGATGGTGGGAAGATTCTGTGTCTCCAGGAGTCTTTGCATAACCCTGACGTTATGGATGGAAGGACAAGACACAGCTTTTCCAAGTCAGTTTGATCCCTCTTCCTCAGTAGTTCCAAAGGGCAGCCATGTCGGTCTGCAGTAGAAGAGCTGGGTTCGAGTCCCGTCGCACCTTAGCGTCCAGCAAGTTTTTTCAGGGTATAATTTTTTGAGAGTCAAAGTTTTCCTCAATAGGAGGTTTGACTCTCAAAAGCTCATACCCCCAAAATCTTGGCGATGCCGGAAAATGAGGGGGTTGAGTGCTGGTGGAATAGGCTGTCCTTTCACTCTACAGGTGAGGATCACAGGTGAGAATAATCCCCTGTGCATAAAGCTTCCCTGCGGATAGAAAACCTGCCTCACAAGCTGAGAGGGAAGTGTAATCTATCCCGGTTGCACTGATTTTTCTGTTTGCAGTGAGTTTTTCTATAGAGGAACATGAGCGACTGGGATCTATCCCCTGCCACCTGATGGGGTCTCGTCAGGACTCTGCCGTCTCGTTCCCACTGCATTCTCTTGCATGTGTGAACCAGGCCTCGGGACATTTGGGGGGGGGGTGGAACTAGCTAAGAGCCACTGGCAAATTCCCACCTTGCAAGACGGGTGGTTGGTGGTGTAATTTTTGCTAATTCGAACCTATTGACTCCTCCCTTACACTGTCCCTGGGGTTCCCCATGTGCTGGGAGCAGTATTTCAGAGGGGCATTTTGGGGCTGCAGTGTGTGCATGGAAAGGGGAAAGGACGTAGTATTCTGTGGTCAGAAATCTCTTTCAGCTGCAGAAACCTTTCTGGTGGAGCCAAGCCATGACTTTGATTGAAAGGACCACTTGATCTGATTAAGCGTGATTAATCTGAGCCAGTGTGGTGTAGTGGTTAAGAGTGCCGGACTAATGTCTGGGCGGTACCGTGGAAACTTGGCTGGGTGACCTTGGGCCAGTCATATTCTCTCAGCCTAACCTACCTCACAGGCAATGTTCCCTCTAAGCTGTGGAGTCTTGTGAGCAAAAATTCTACTTTATGAGCTACTGGCATTAAAGTTGTGAGCAAGTGATTTGGGTACTGCATAAATTAGTTTGCTCTTAAGCCATCCTTACTGAGCTAAGACGACAATGTGTGAGCCAGAGGCTAAAAAAACTGTGAGCTAGCTCACACTAACTCAGCTTAGAGGGAACACTGCTCACAGGGTGTCTGTTGTGGGGAGGGGAAGGGAAGGAGATTGTAAGCCACTCTGAGACTCCTTCGGGTAGTGAAGGGCGGGGTATAAATCCCATCTCCTCCTCCTCCTCCTTTCGTCGTACGGTCATCAGAAAACCAGGGTCAGCTGCAGGTCCCTGTAGTCACTGGTTTGTGCTGTGTAATGTGTGAACATGCTTCATACAATATCCTTTAAACGTTTTTTCCTTTCCAGGCCCTGTATGACCACTTAATGGATTTCTTGGCTGACCGAGGAGTGGACAACACATTTGCAGATGAGCTGGTTGAGCTCAGCACGGCGCTGGAGCACCAAGAATACATTCGCTTCCTTGAAGGTCTGAAGCAGTTTGTGAAATGCCAGTAGGCCGAGACCAAGTGGAAGGCCAGAGCCCCGCGTGCAAAGGGGGCTCGGCTTCCTGTGCTTTTGGCACCAGATGCCGGACTCTTGCTTGGGAACCCAGGCAGTGAGACACAACACGGAGAGAGTTGACGTCTGAAACATTTCATCGTGGTTGGAAAATGTAAACCCTTTGAGAACTTGGTGGTGGCTGACTGGCGCGGCGAAGGCCAGCTCTCACATTTGTATCCCGCCAGCTATTCTTGGAAGTGTGATTTTTGGGGGGCGATTTTGTACAATTTGAAGAAGGCTGGCAAAATGATGTGAAAATAAACTCAACTGAACACCTTGCCTGTGCCAAATGAATGGTCCCTCCTCCTGATCACCAGACACTGGTTGCATTAGGACATCCCTTCTAACCAGCTAGGTTGTGTGTGTGTGAACTCAGATCCCGGGGGCACACCTCCCTCATTCAGAGAATCCCAGTTCGAAACTCAACTCGAGTGACCCATTATGCACAAATGCAGGTGTGCCTGTTGACTGGAGCCAGTCTGCAGACTGCGATTCTGAACCTCAGTTCTGGTTTAGAATCCTGGTTTGTGGCCAGGTGCACAGAAAGGAAGCTCCATCTCATGGATCCCCAGAGTTAGTTTCCAAACTGAGATTCTCTGTGTGTGAAGGCCAAGACTGAGGCCCAAGATCAATGTTCCCTCTAAGCTGTGGCGTCTTGTGAGCAAAAATTCTACTTTGTGAGCTAATGGCATTAAAGTTGTGAGCGAGCGATTGGGCTGCTGCATAAATTAGTTTGCTCCAGAGCTATCTTTCCTGGGCTAAGACAAAAATGCGTGAGCTGGAGGCTAAAAAAACTGAGCTAGCTCACACTAACTCGGCTTAGAGGGAACACTGCCCAAGATCCCAGCGTCAGGCAGATTCATGCACATCCTGCCTTAATGCCACTTAGAAGAAGGTTCCAGGTTCAGTCCTCGGCATCTCCAGTTAAGAGTCAGGTAGGAGGTGATGTGAAAGACCTCTGCCTGAGACCCTGGAGAGCCACTGCCAGTCTGAGAAGACAGGGCTGAGACTGACGGACCAAGGTCTGATTCAGTATAAGGCAGCTTCATACGTTCCTGTGTTACAGTGAAAGCTGAATGCTGCCATTGCAGTTCACAGGAATACGAATGTTTCCTAGAAATGTAAAGTTAGAGGCCTGGCCAGCACCACAGTTTGATGGCGGGCTGTTTTCAAGGGCCAAACGGCATTTTGTGCAAAACACAGGCCTGCTGCAACCCTGTTTTTCTGTAATATCTGTTACAGCTTAATCCTGTTTCACAACATAATTATGTTGTCCCCCCACCCCTCCCCTGACCGCATGGTGAATCAAATGCACAGCATAGGGACACAAGGGAAATTCGTGCTGTGTGTTCCAGGGTTTGGGGCAGAGTAGAGACTTGGCACGGGGATGGCTGCTTGGTGCCTTTCTCGCACCATCACGTAGCTCCGGCCTGAATCTTTTGCTTCCCTGACTAAGTGATCAAGATTTCCAGACATCCCTGGCCATAGAGGTTGAGCTAGAAGGGCTGTTTTCTTAACCCTTGTTTCAACACATGGTTTGGTTCTGATGCATTATACCTGATTCCCGCTTGCAGAAGCAGCAGGTGGTACAGCCCTTACTGGTTCGTACCGTTCTGGAGTATTCACCATGTGCATAATCCTTTTAAAAAACTGCTTTGCCTGTAGAAAGCTAGCATGCCAGGGAGCTAAAACTGTTCCTCCTGATTGTCAGGATCCACAGCAAAACAACGAAGTACGCACTTCCAGGAAGGTTTTACTTTTATTTTTATTGAAAAGCCATAGATGCAATAACACGAACACTGTTAGGAATGGTGGACAACCTATGTGCATAATAGGATATAGGGCATTTGTATGCCCCCCCCCCCCCAGCAATACTCAATTAGATGGGCTCCCACGTGCGGGAGATGGCGAGAGTCTCTTAACGGTAGCGAAGAGCTTCATCCCACGGAAGGTAGACAACACAACTCCTCCAGTAACTCTTTATAGATAAGCATTGCAGCTGTAAAGCAATTAAGCGCATGGGAAGGAATGCAAAGCAATTAGAACGTCTCTCCCTACACATGGCAGCTTAGCTGACACTGATATGCTGGGTGTCACACGCCATAGTGCTCTGAGGGGCAGAAGCTTTTACGGTTCAGTTCTCTATCTCAAGTCCCGATTCTTTTTCTGGAGAGAGTCTGTGCTGCAGAACATACTGAGTTGTGCAGGGGCTGTTGCAGAGCTGCCGCGACCTGGATGGCCCAGGCTAGGCCGATCTCAGCAGATCTTGAAAGCGAAGTAGGGTCGGCCCTGCTTGGTACTTGGACGGGAGACCCCCAAAAGCAAGTCCAGGGTCGCTCTGCAGAGGCAGGCCATGGCAAAGCACTTCTGTTCCTCTCTTGTCTTGACAACCTCAGGAGGGATCACCCAAATTCAGCCATCACTTGATGGATCTTTGTGCGCACACCATGAAATTGGGAGAGGTGTAGAATGCGGCGGCCGAGTGCCTTTCTGAAGAGGGCAGGCTAGGGAGACTGGGCTTTTTTTGTTTAGAAGAGTATTGGGGAAGGGGTCTGATAGGAAGATTTTTAAAAATCTTCCCGGGGAGGGGGTAGTGGCTTAAGGGGATTTTCTCCCGTGCTGGACACATTCAATGACAAGGGCCACCCCATGATGCTGAGAGGCAAGCAGTGCTCCCTCTAAGCTATTTACTTTTGCGAGCAAAAATTCTAATTTGTGAGCTCCTGGCATTAAAGTCGTGAGCGAGCGATTTGGCTGCTGCATCAATGAGTTTGCTCTGGCGTCATCCTGAGTTAAGACAAAAATGTGTGAGCCGGAGGCTAAAAAACCGAGCTAACTCACGCTAACTCAGCTTAGAGGGGCAAGACTGGGGGCAAGACGGACAAAGAACCTCACACGACTGATTATTCCAGAATTCATAATGGGAAAGTACGGCTTTGTTTAAATAGCTTTGAAGGAGAAGTGGGCAGATTCCAGCTATTAATCATGAAAACGAAATGGAGCTTCCATGTTCAGCGACAGTGTACCTTACCCATAAAATGATTGTCACTTTGGGTAAGAATGGGGTGAGCCTGTTGCTTTCAGGCCATGGCCTATTCATGGGTTTCCTGGAGGCAGCTGCCCAGCTCCTGGAGACATAAATCCTGGACTTTGTGTCTGACCCCACCACATGGCTTCGGAATCCTCAAGCATGAAGTAAGTCTGAAGTTGACTTGCAGGGAACTGCATCATCCCTATCAAGCCAGTTGCCTGACTCCCAAACAAGATGCAAGGCAAATCAACCACGAGCATCACAGGCTTCGGCTCTGGCTTGCTGGAAGAAATGCTGGAGTGCCCAGAAAGTGTCCAGCTGTTCAAGAGCATTTGCTGCTTTACCCATGAATAATTTCTAGTGATGGAGAAGGAACCTGTTGAATGAGCAGGGGTTTCCAAGCATGAAGAGACCATTACACAATCTACCAATTTTCTTCCTCTGCCTTTCCTTCATTACACACAGCCAGTGAACTCGAAATGGCTCTTGCCAAAGCAGTTGTCTCCCTTGAGAGGCCTTTTTTGTTTTTGCAGAACTCTTGAGCATCTCTCAACAATCTTCTCCCTGGAGTGTAAGACATCCGGTTCTACAACCTTTCACTTAGATAGTTATGGAGTGGGTAGAACTGGTGTTTTTTTTAAAATTCATAATACGCACTTGATCTTAGCCAAAAGTGGGATTGAAGAACACTGGCCTTTTATGCTTGGCGTTTTTAATGGAAGCTTCACATGCTTTTAACAAAACGGCCTTGTTTCTGCGCTACCATTCGGTAGAAGCAGAAGGCCTTTTAAAAAACAATGTTGAGAACGCATGTGGACTTTCTGTGGTGGTTTCTTTCTGAACGGGCCATAACCCCACTGGGACGGAGCCTGTGACTTTCTTCTCCTAGCTGTGCATCCCATATCTGCCAAAGGAATGCTCCATTGCTAGTGTAATCAATTCAGGGGCAGCATGGTTTGAGCATGACACCTCTCTTTGCAAAGGCTTCCGATTCAAAGGAAGTCTCGTAACGCTAATACTCTGCATTTCCGTAGAAACATTTTTCGTAGTCATTTGCACAACAGCCCTGTAATGTAGATCAGTGTTATTGCAGGTGAGAGGACAGCTTTTCCTAAGGTGCCTAGAGAGGTCATATCAGAGGGGAGGTTTGACCCAGCAGCCCCCCCCCCCCCCGAACAGCTCATTCCCTTAGCCTCTAAGCCTAAACTAGACCTTCGGATCAAAACCCAAGGAAATTTGTTTTCGTACCAGCTCATCGGCCTGAAAAACAGCTTAGCCCACAGTGAGCTTGAGTGGATTATTTATTTACTTCATTTAATAGCCTGCTTTCTTTGGGAAGGGAGCAGCGAGATTCAAGGCAGGCTACACTATATTAGGGGCCGGGACACGGCTCAGTGGTAGAGCATCTCTTTGGTATGCAGAAGGCCACAGGGTTAAAACCCCTGCAACTTAACTGAAAAGAAGAGATTGGATTTATACCCCCCCTTCAGTACCCAAGGGAGTCTCAGAGTGGCTTACAAACCCCTTCCCCTCCCCACAACAGGCACCCTGTGAGCAGTGTTCCCTCTAAGCTGAGTTAGTGTGAGCCAGCTCAGTTTTTTAGCCTCCAGCTCACACATTTTTGTCTCAGCTTAGGAAGGATGGCTCCAGAGCAAACTAATTTATGCAGTAGCCAAATCGCTCACTCACAACTTTAAGGCCAGTAGCTCACAAAGTAGAATTTTTGCTCACAAGATTCCACGGCTTAGAGGGAGCATTGCCTGTGAGGTAGGTGGGGGCTGAGAGTGCTCTGACAGAAACTGCTCTTTTTCAAGAACAGCTCTGACAGAACTATGGCTTGCCCAAGGTCATCCAGCAGGTGCAAGTGGAGGAGTGGGGAATCAAACCCGGTTCTCCCAGATTGGAGTCCGCGCACTTAACCACTACACCAAACTGGCAAAAGGATCAGATAGTAAGTGATGCTAGTCCATAGTTACGGTGGGGCTACTTAGGGCTCCACCCCCTTTCTTAAAGGGACAGCCCCACAAGATTTCCCCCTGAAATCCCTTTTTAAAACATTTTTAAAATACGTTTGACCCAAGCCTCCTTAAAATATGCAGGGGCTCGAGGCAGGCAAAGGGCATTGGCAGGTGGTGAGAGCCACACAGAACACTGCCACGGAACCTTGGAAAGTTCAGTGCTCACAGGGTCATCATAATAAGCTTATAAGATCCTGTAAGGTAGGCCGGGGGCGTTTTGTTTGTTTG